TTAACAGAATTTTCGTTTGTTGACAATTTTAAGTCATATGAGACGTAAATTATATCATGATAAGAGAAATATCCTTTCAGCTGTCCATACTTTGCTACTTTGTCCAAATTAGATACTATGATTAAATCCAAAAGGGAGGGCGCTGAATGTGGCTTAAAATAAGTTGGCATTAGAGTGAGTATGTTTAGTTTATGGCTATCTATAATTGACAACAATTTCTTAGATCTACTAGTTTTTCTCAACAAATTTGTATTAAAGTTGCCTTGTATAAGCACATGATCATAATCTGAACGATAATTTTCCAGTAAGAGATCAAAAGATAAAAAATAATCAATTCTTAAAGATGGACCGTAGAATACACCTAAAAGAATTTTAGTATCTTCATGAAATATTTCAATAAAGAGGTGTTCAGCAGACATTGTATTACCATCTGGTGATCGGTCTACGATTTTGTACCGCAAATTTTTACGAATATAAATTGCTGTTCCACCACAACCTTTCTCCATCCTATCGTTACGGATTAATTCGTAACCTGGCAAATCGCATTCACTCGAGCACATAGTAGACTTTAAAACATTTTCAGACATCAAAATTACATCGATGTCGTAAACAGTACTAAACGTAGCTAATAAAGCCAGATAGTAAGCATAAATATTTTGGGCATTAATATGAACAACATTTAAATTGCTTGAACATTTAGAAAATACTTTTCGAAGATCATCTTCTACCGTAGGCATATCGTTGTTGTTTCGATCTTTAGTAATACTTGACATTGCTTGTGGCTTATTTTGTTCAAAAGTATCTCCGATATTCATTTTTCAATTTGATCAATGCGCAAAATGTTGTAAAGCGTCCTTTCAAGAAGATTACTCATGAATATGTCTTTGTCTTGAATGATCTTATATTTGTCCCAAATTTCCGATCACACGTTTTGCTTTAAATTTTATATATCTCTTGATTTTAATGACACCACCAATTATCTGCAGAAAGGTTATTTATTCAATATTGAGTAATCATAAGTAGCAAATTACTATATAATTTAATTACATAAATTTATCAAAAATAATCTGATAAGATTTTCCTTTTATACTTTTTTCTTTTAAGATTCTTTTATAGAATAAGGGTGACAAAAGGTTGAGTGGTATTCTGTGAGATCATAGTCCCTCCCTGGTCGAGCCAGCTCATTCGTACTGCAACCGTTAAATAGTAGCAGCGTAATTCTACCATAGTCTGTCAATTCATCAACCAGTTTCTCTTTTTGAGTATGTTTAGAGGCGACTATCTATTCCAACAAATGAAGATCCTGCTTACATCGAACGTAGTACACCCAGATCGAGGAATAATGAATATGTAAAATGTCTGGCACTGCGATCGCAAATCCGACTGCAATCGACGGGATTCAACGGTAGAGGTTCATATCCAGTAGTGAATTTTTATGATTTGATGAAAAAGAAGGAAATATAAATAGACATTAGAAAAATAAGCGTATTATAGTCATTTCATTCAAATTTTTCTAAACAACTGAAATTTTTCCTCTCTCATAAATAAATTATTTACGGCTCTAAATCTGTTTTTTAAAATAAATATGGATAAAACATATCTGCTATAGGGTGCGCGTTATCAAACACGTCATACAAATTATCAAATGTAAATAACTGGTATATTGGAAGTCCGCAAGTGTGTTAAGTCACAAGTCACAAGTTACATGCGAATCCAATACGTACATATATTCATAGTCCACAAATATCGGAATGCTTTTTATATTTTCATATCACAGTTCATATTTCCACATTACAATCAAACGCAAAATGCAAAAATATTACAGATTATTTGTCGCTTTACTGTATTTAAGTTGTGCAGTTATGAAGTGCCTCATGAAAATTTTAAAATTTTGATAACTAATTATGTGTTGTTCAATATCTACGGTGTTCTGTGCAATGTAGAACAATGTGTACTTGAAATTGGAAAGTTAGAGAATTTGTTTTTACTTAAACATATTCATTTTTAACGTGAATAAGTCAACTTATAACTAGCAAACCACCTCATGTATAGCAATGAAAGAGATGAAAAGGAAGAATACAATGATCTGAAAGATACTTTTCTGTCACATCAGTGGCACTTTTGTTAAATATGTTTACGGTTTATCCTAATGAAATGAGGATGGCGGCTGGCATAGGTAATATTAAGTTTAGCCTCAATAATTTTACCTGGTAGCAGATTGTTTAACCATCATATAAACAAGATGGTGATGTTAGAAACAAAATCGAATGTAATAATGAATAAACATGATTTTATGAGTATTTCAGGCATAATTTGTTATTTGTCGAACTAAAACCGTATTTGTCGTGGCGTAAATCCAAAATGAGGTTAGGTACCAAGAAAGCCAATAGAACAACAACTTGATTTAAGAATGGATTATTTATAGATATTTTACAATTACATGTGAGATAATCCAACACTTATCTTGGTTAAAAGATAATTTTTTGATAATAATCGCCTTGCCTACACACGCTCTGTTAAATATACTTTCGTTTTGGATAAATCGATTACTTTTTGTTTATATTATTATCATGGTTGTTCAGCAATGTACTCTAACATTAGTCATTGTTAATTTTAACCCTAGTTCCCCCCCCCTCCCCCAAAGACTTTCGCTAGACATAACTCTAAACTAGACTAAGTTTACTGAAATATACAAGATGGCGTGCTTTTGTCCTGCAAAACACTTTAATTCGTTCTACTATTTACAACAAATTACCACCACCATTCTACTTAACCTATACATTATTTTGAAATTTTTTTAATGTTAATTTGTTTATTTACTAAAAAATGCCAATATTTACCATTAATTACTTTTAAGTCGATTATTACAATTGTATGCACGTGCTCTTTGATTGCTTGCTCTTGAAAAGAATGACAGAAAATGAAGGTAGGAAATTGTTCGTTCATTATAAACTTTGTATCCTAAAATTTTACAAAACCTAAAACAAAAATTTTATATATTTGTATTTTTAATTAAACTTCTAATAAAAAAGTTCTTTTTTATTTCATTAATAATAAACAATTAAAAGGATACCGGAACGGAAGTGAATAATGATTGCGTCAGAATAATAATTGCATCATTTCAGGATTGTTATCATTTGTCATATTTGCGTTTGCTTGACGCGATTTTTACAGATAATGACATTCTTTTTTACCAATTCGTTTACGATTTATTATTAATTCTTAATGAAAAGATAGTTAAATTTTGAACATTTTTGCATTTTTAAAATAATATTTTGATTAATATCTTTATTATGAATATGACTTCTAACAAACCTTTGATTACTAACTCACCTGTGTCCACTTAACGAACTTTCCCTATTACTTTTGGGTTTTTCCTTGATACTTTGTATTTTTTTAAAGGATAAAAGTGACAAATGACCACACAGTCCACCTAATGGTAAGTGGATGCTGTGGCCCATAGACATCTGAATTTAAACTCGATTAAGAATCAAAATGCAGATGCATTGTCACCCTTGAGGACTAAGATGGAATGCCTCGATCCCAGTAAAACGGGTCTCCGGTTCTCTACACTCATCATACGGAACATAGCAGCATTAATCTGCTATTTTAAGCTGGTATTCTGTGAGAGCGTGGTTATTCCCCGGTCGAGCCGACCCATTCGTGCTACAACTATAATAGCTGCAACGTGGCTCTACCACGTGGATAATGTATTAGACCATGTATAATTTTAAAACCACATTTTTATTGTGTGCTATAAAAATAAATCTGTTCTGTGTTTACTACTTTCTCTCATCAGTACAGATAATTTAACAGCCTATTAAGATTCCATTGCACAGGCTGAATCTCGTATTTATGAGAGATAAAGAGCAGAAAATCTTCAATTGCCAGACATAATAGAATACATTTTTTATCTTTTATCAGCCAGTCTTAAGCGTTATAAAAGCCCATTCACTCTTGCCTTGAAGACTCCTAGATTGTGTTAGAATCCAATGACAGACCCCGACAAATAATTCCACTCCTTTTCTGTACGCATTACAAAAGACGAAGTAAAGCGTTTGATTCTAATTCGTGGAATATCGACAACAAAGATAAACATTAAATAAACATTTAATTAGTTACATTTTAATGTTAATATGAACATTATTAACTTTCAGAAGTACCTGTAAAGCTGTTCAACATACGTTAACGATGTCTGAAGGGAATGCAACAACACTGATGTCCAAACAGAGCAAGGTATCTGAGTATGTGTTCACAGTAAAATCTTAATAGGTTGCACCTTATGCTATTCAAAAATAAGTAATTTTTGAAAGACGAAAACAATTGTCCAAGATCAGAAAATTGGATTAGATGTCGGTTTGGGTTAGATGGTCTTGTTGAATCCACTGTTTCTTTTCGGGATCACAGTTGACGTAAAGCTTTAGTGACATTCAAATAAAGCTATTTATATCCAATATGACATTTTTCGTTAAAAAGAATCGTAGACTTACGTGTTTAAAAAGTCTTATCTGTGCAAAAGGGAGTCATTAGAGTAATTTATAAGCTTATACCTACAATAATACTATATACAACACATTAAATTTTGGTATATAACCCTTACAGCACTGTATTTACCAATCGTGCGTTCATAAAAAATAAATTCCTGGAGTTTGAATATTTTATTTTACCGCTCCAAAACCGCCAAAAATTAAAACTCGCGGCAACTTCGTGACAGTGACCCGCGGTCACTTGTGCGAGATGGATGGTTGTTTCGTGGACGACCGCGGCTGTAGTAAGTGTTTTGTTTTTGTATTTATTTTGCTATATTTACGTTAATTGATTCTTAATTGTTAAGATGGAAGCTTAGCTACAGTTTCATAAAAGAATATCGTGCAAATTTACTGAAATTCGAAGCAAAACCCGTCGTTAAAATCTTAACGCACGAACGTGCGTTGTCGTGCTCAACTACTCCTTTTAGTCCAAAGTCACCTTGTAATTTTTGATACCTTTTTTCTTTGCAGAACGGCCTCTAGATTCGGAGTTGGTCTTTGAGCTTTTGGGCGATGGGTCCCAGTCAGACTTAGATATATCAGACGAGGAAGCCGAGCCCAGAATCGAAGTTCGTCGATTATTGGATGAAGATATACCTGATCAGGAATTACCAAATGCTGAAAATGAGTCTGATCCAGAAATTGATGTACCTACGGCTAAAATTGCACGAAATAATTGCGAGAATATCCCACCTACACGTAGTTCTAATACGGCCAGAAACATCTGCGAAAAACAACGGCCAAGACTGTGGAGAAGAACTGAATTTAATGACAAAACTCATGAGTACAGTACTAGCCTCCCAGCTTAAGATATTAAAACCCCACTACAATATTTTGAAGAGTATTTTAACGATTTTTTTTCGAAAATATGGCCTCCTGCACCAATATTTACGCTTTGCGCAAAAAAAGGAATAGTTTTGAATACAAATAAGCAGGAAATGCGCAAATTGTTTGGCATTTTTCTGATTATGGGTTGTATACCGTTTCCACGTATACACATGTATTGGCGATCGGGTATGAGACTGGACATCATTGCCGAAAAAATGCCAAGAGAACGATTTTTTTTGCTGCGTAACAATATGCATGTCGTGGGTACGAAGGATGCTCCAAAGGGAAACACAAACCCTCTTTGGATGGTACTACCAGTGATGTTCTATATGCAAAAGCATATAGAAGAGATTAATGATTTTCTCATGTATCCCATCATCAGATCTAGAACAAATTTATGTAGGACTGACCATAAAGTACAAATATCCTAACCTCAAAAGTATAATTGAAATAGGCATAGTAGTGAAGCGACAGTAGCCTAATGGCAGGGCGCGGATCGCGAACTCAAAAGGTCGTGGGTTCGAATCCGCCATTCGACTACTGGCGTGAACCACTCCTAACACAAGCATTTTCAAGCTTACCAGTAGTGGTTAAAAGGAATATTAGTAATGTTAATTAATAAGATTACTAATATTTTTTTTAAAAAACAAAAAAATTAAAAAAAAAATAGTGGTAAAGAATTATTGCTATTAAATTAAAGGAATCCTTCAACTAGGTTTAGTCACAACCCACCTATGTCCACCCTATTACTTTTGGTTTTTTCCATAATTCTTTGTATTATTATAGGATAAAAGTGACAAACGAGCACACAGTCCACTCTTAGGTAAGTGGATGCTGTGGCCCATAGACATCTACATTTAAATTCGATTAAGAATCATGCAGATGCGTTGTAACCCTTGGGGAATAAGATGGAATGCCTCGATTCCAGTAAAACGAGTCTTCAGCTCTCTACACTCACCATACGAAACACAGCAGCATTAAGCTGCTATTTTAGGCTGGTATTCTGTGAGAGCGTCGTCCTTTCCCGGTCGAGCAGACCCATTCATGCTACAACCATAAAAGCTGCAGCGTGGCTCTACCACGTGGATAATGTTAGACCATGCATAATTTTCAGACCACTTTTTTATTGCTTATACGCGTGCTAAAAAAATAAATCTGTTCTGTGTTTACTACTTTCTCTCATCAGTACAGATAATTTAACAGCCTATTAAGATTCCATTGCACAGGCTGAATCTCGTATTTATGAGAGATAAAGAGCAGAAAATCTTCAATTGCCAGACATAATAGAATACATTTTTTATCTTTTATCAGTCAGTCTTAGCGTTATAAAAGCTCAATCACTCTTGCCTTGAAGACTCCTAGATTGTGTTAGAATCCAATGACAGACCCCGACAAATTATTCCACTCCTTTTCTGTACGCTTTACAAAAGACGAAGTAAAGCGTTTGATTCTAATTCGTGGAATATTGACAACAAAGATAAATATTAAATAAAAAATTAATAAGTTACATTTTAATGTTAATATGAACATTATTAACTTTCAGAACTACCTGTAAAGCTGTTCAACATACGTTAACGATGTCTGAAGGGAATGCAACAACACTGATGTCCAAACAGAGCAAGGTATCTGAGTATGTGTTCACAGTAAAATCTTAATAGGTTGCACCTTATTCTATTAAAAAAAAGTAATTTTAGAAAGACGAAAACATTGTCCAAGATCAGAAAATTGGATTAGATGTCGGTTTGGGTTAGATTGTCTTCCAAAATTGTATTAAATTTACAAAGGCAAATGTAAAACAGGTGAACTGTGGTACAGTTTATTTTAAATTGGGAAGAGCTTAGTCTTGTTGAATCCACTGCTTTTCTCGGGATCACAGTTGACGCAAGGCTTTAGTGACATTCAATTAAAACTATCTATATCTAAACTGACAATTTTTTTGTTAAAAAGATTCGTAGACTTACATGTGTTGAAACAGTCTTACCTTTGCAAAAGGGAGTCATTAAAGTAATTTATAAGCTTATACGTACATATAATACTATAATATACAACACATTAAATTTTCGTTATAATATATATATATATATATACAAAACAATTTAATATTATCCACAACAAAAAATAGTTTCATTGAAAATACCACGCTTTCGAACCAAATAGTTGGATGGATTCGTCATTTCTAATGGGTTCAGCGACAGAGTGAAATAATTTGCCAGTGTGTGAACTTCCATTCGACTACAATGTGGATACAAGGCAAGAGTGAATGCTGAATAGGCTTTTATTTATATTGCATTACTATCTTCGGCTTGATTACTACTTACCATCAAGTGAGATATTTGTGAACCATTGTTTTATAATTAAAACGGATGGTCGTCTTCCTCTGCCAATGCTGGTCTTGGTTTGGTTTACAACAACCAAAAAGGGAAACGGCGTCTGGGCTTCTTCTTTCGGCTGGTTCTTCCTCCGGCTGCGAATTCCCTACCACAACAAAGTTATGAGACAGTCTTGCGCCTCTTATCAACCTATACTACCACGCTGGGTTCGGAGCTAAAGCGCGGTGGGCATGACCTAGAATTTAACAACGTACGACAACCCCGTTTCTTAAAAGAAAGTGCTTGACGACTAGGATTATGGGTCCAGTGAATGATCCCGGTCTAGACGTCAGTTATGAACTTAGTGGATTGTACATCTTCTCATTTCTCTACTTATAGGGTAAACACTGGTGAAATAAAACAGCATTATTCGTAACTGCGCCTTGGAAATATGATACTGAAGTTTCACTACTTTTACTTTACTTTTCTTAATTCCGTTTTTCTTTCATGATTTATAATTAGAAACTGTTCTGAAAGCTAGTCCCGAACGAATTTAAAATTGGGCGACTTACTAAAGCACTCCCAAGATAAACCGTAATAAGAATCAGGCGTGAAAACCCCTCTCATGTATCGATAATTTTCACTATCACATTTCCATATATTGCATCATAACTTTACTATATTTCACAAAAAGTACTAATTTAAACACATCATAAAACAATTAAACAGTCACATTACATAAAGGCATTAATAAAATATAAAGCATAATATAGCTATCCTTTAAACAATTTCTTATAGTCATAAACCTCAATAATGATAAATACAGTTTTTATAATACAATTTTTATCAAAATTTTCACTCATCGTATACAACACAACCTATCTTACACAATATAACAGTTTAATGCAAGAATTAAAACCTTAAACAGGTCTCTAAACAAATCTCTAAGCAAAAATACATCTTTAATATATTATTTAATATTTCCACAATTTCGCTATTTTATCACTAAAACAGATCTTTATTGACATTCCTATGATCTTATTCCAAAACGAAACTTGACCAAAACATTAACAAGTCGCTATTACATACATTTAAAAAAAATTAATACAAAGATATTATTTAATTAATATTCTTATAAGACAGTTCGGACTTGCTTTTTCTTGCTCTGCTAATACCTATATAAGTAGGCAAACTCTAATTTTCACGACGCTCCTACAGGATTCAGAGCCTCCTATAGAATACAGAGCGCTCCTTCTTATATTTATACTTATATTTGTCTTACATATACAAAATTTCACTCTAGAATTAAACTGTCCTTATCTTACACATTGGTATGCCTTATAAGTAATCAACACATTATTTAAAAAATCAAAAATGCTTAAAGCGAAAATACATAGCCGATTACTATGTAACACATGAATCTAAGCTAATACTAATAACCTTACCTTGCTCAGAAATTAATATTTAATAAAGTTAACATAATTATAACGTTTTCTCTGTAAAACAATGAAAGATTTAACTAGATGATTTATTTTTATAACCTCAAATGCAGATTAGCAACGGGAAGTGACATTCAAGCTTCAAAACCCGTATCCACCGCGCAATACACCACGATTTGCCGTCCAATTATGCAGTTTACAAGTCCTATTGGTAGGAGAGTGGCCGGCATAATATCCGTATAAACAATTAATTCCCTGTGCTAAGGTTTCATGAGAAAAGAAGAAACAGAGTATCCTCTGTTTCTTCTTCTCGAGAAACAGAAGACAACATCCAACTGAAAAGTCGAAAGTCACAAAAACACACATTATTAGCGCACCTAGCTAGTCATTCCGAATTTTAGAATTTCCTTAAATTCTTCTACGAGCTTTGAAGTACATAGTTTCTATTTTTAGAAAACAGCACAACAAACACGCGCTTTACGAGACATTGCAGAATATAGCCCGTTGCGACCTTACTATACTATACTATATTATACCTAACTAACTTCAACAATTGGGCAGAGAGCAATAAATCAAAAGAGCTTAAAATTTTTATGATTATTATTTTCATACTACATAATAACGTCTAAATACAAGCAACAGTTTACAGACACGTTCGTTAAAACAATGCCAGTAAAGTTTATTACTGCTTGTATTATTAACAAGTTGATAAGTGTGACCGCCTAAATGTCTTTAGTTTTTTTTTTCAATGATTACAACCTATCAAAGTCCACTTCTGAACATAGGCCTTCCAATGGGTATAATACCTTCCAACACCTCAGCCCCTTGCGCGAACGTAGTGTTAAGTAAAGCACCCAAAAAGTCGTGAATTTAAAAAGTAATAAAAAGTTCCACTATAAATGGAAAATCCGTAAAATTCGTTTTATTGCAATTTCTGAACGAATTTAAGGTAGATTAGTTTGGATCGAAGGAAGCCTGTTTCGAAAGGGCTGAGAATCTTAACGTAGGTACAAATCTGCTATTTTTATGTTTGTATTCTATTTCATACTTAAAACCTTTCGAGATTATTTTTCTTGTTCTTTGTAAGTTAACAATTTGGTAATTTTCTATTTTATGTATATGTTATCCTGGTCACAACATCATCTTGCAAACGACACTCTTCTTTTATCACACAATTTCTTACCTTGTCGTTCAGATTCCGCCCTAACATACTCCTTAACGACCAGTATTAAG